GATGTGGCTCAAGCGGTAGCGCGCTCGCCTGGCATGCGTGCGGCCCGGGTTCGATCCTCAGCACCACATACCAACAAAGATGTTGTGTCCACCGAGAACTAAAAAATAAATATTAAAAATTCTCTCTCTCTCTCTCTCCCCTCTCTCACTCTCTCTCAAAAAAAAAATCTTTATTAAAAAAAAAAGACCCTTTTAAATTTTTAAAGGGGCTGGGGGATGTGCCTCAATGATTTAGTACCCTGAGTTCAAGTTCCAATAAATAAATAAATGAAAATATAAGGACTGGGGATGTATCTCAGTGGTAAAGCACCCCTGGGTTTATCCCCAGCACCGAAAAAAACAAACAAAAAAACCCCCCAAAGTAATGATAAGGAGGTAAAATGATTTAATTAGTCCACATTTATATACACAAAGTATCCTACTGTGCCCTATAAATATGTGGCTATAGTATAGAAATTACAAAGAAAAGTAAGAGTGAAAGGGTGATAATAAAATCTGTCCGCTCCACTCACCCTGTTTGCCAACAGCTAACATTCCAAGCCACAGCTAGATTTTTCTGATGTTTTCTTTGACAAAGTAAAAACATTACCATAGTGACCTAGTCCTGTCATCTGTCCTCTATTCCCAGAGCAAAGTGTCTGAAAGGTCAAGATGCAGATTCTGTTTCTAATGCTTAGGGAGTGCTAGGCTTATCGCCAGATGCTCTGCTTTTTGCACCACTTTACAGTATATCCGCTTATGGCCTAGTCATTGTTAATATCCGCAGACTTGCTTTGGCAGGTTCTTAGATAATCTCAGGAAAAAGATTGCTAGAATTCTAGAATCTCAGAGCAGTGGGAGCTCTTTTAGAGTCTAACTATCCGCATGACACACAGCTCSTTCCTGGAGTGTCCCTTGTGATATCTAACCATTGCTTTGATGTGTAAAACTATAGGTATTAATCAGAATTACTCAGATGCCTGAAGGAAAAATTTAACAAGCAGCAATAATAAGCACTGTTATTGTCCTGTGAGTGTTATATTTACTGTCTCTTATATTGACAACATTCCTGTAGGTTGGGTTTTACATTTATTTCATGGGCGAGGAAACCAAGACTCAGAAATGCCTCAGAAGCTGTCACACGAGCAACATGGTTACAGCTCTTGATTCTTCCTTAGAAATTCTCCAGTGAAGAATAAAGAAGTGGTTCCCGCTGGGCATGGTGTTGCACGCCTGTAATCCCAGCTACTCAAGGGGCTGAGGCAGGAGAATTGCAAGTTCCAGACCAGTTTGTACAACATAGAGTACCTTCTCAAAATTTTTCAAAGGAAGAAAGAACTGGAATGTGGGTAGTATGCCCGAGATCCTGGGTTTAGTCCCCAGTGCTGCCAAAAAAAAAAAAGTAGTTTAGCTTTTCAGCTGTTACCAGTCCAGTCATGCCTAAGAAGTACCTGCCTGTTTCATGTGGCTTCGAGAATACTTCTGAAGCCCAGTAAAGCATTATTTCTCTAAGTGGGCAGAGTGGCCAACTAGAGAACACAGCAGGTGCCTCAGGCCACCTGGTGGCTGGTGGCACACAGTGAAAAGATCCTTCCCACTGTTCAGGGCCCTTTTGTCATGGATCTCACTGTGGGACATACCGTGCTTTATGCAGTACATCTGTTCTTTTCCACTTAGCACCCCATGTGCTTAGTCTGAATTATTAGGAGCTTAGCCATGACAAAAGTCTTAGAATTAATGTWAATTTGGGATCATCAGGGGAGAGAGCCAGTTGCTATGTCTTTGAAATTGGCACTAGCAGATAAGTCACAGGAAATAACTTTACAAGGAAGCGTGAAGAGCTATGCTTATAACTTGCTTTAGAGTTGAAGATGTTGCCAAGTATTGCCAATGCCACTGTCCCTCCGGATGGAGCAGCTTAATCAGCCACATAAGGAATTCAGACCTTGGAGCTTTAAAAAAAATTTGATTTGGATATTTAATAAATGGGAACTATTTGGACATGACCAAATCAAAGGTGTCTTTCATAATGTTTGATAAAATCTGAAGTCTGGATAGGTTAGCATTATCCTGGTATTTTTAAGATTTCCACACTCTCGGGCATTCCACTGTGTCAGATTTTCGAATGAGAACAGAAACGAGTTTATGTTCCTTGGTGAAGTAAACACAGCTTATGGGGAGCATGACTTTTATTCAGTAAGTAATCAAAGGTACAGCCTTGAACTGTATACACAAGCTGCTCTTATCCCACTAAACACCTGAGTCTCCTTCTTGCCCTCAAAATGCTGTGGATAATGGCAGAATTGAAAAATGTCAGCAATGGATAAAATGAAGCATAAAGTTCATCCCAAACACTCAGCTGTCACTTGCCCACRGGAGAACAAATGAAAGAATAACTTCCTGTACAAATGAGTTTGTCAAGACTTTTCCAGGAGGAATTGACAGAAGAGCACACAAACAAGCCTAAAACTGGTAGATGCAAAACCTAATGCATTAGCCTAATATAAATGAAGAATATAGAAGTAGATCCTAATTTTGTGCCCGGATGGTTCCAAGGGTTCAATTATTGATGCCAGGAGAATTAGTCCTCGAGCAGGTTCTTCTTTCATGGCAATAAGATGGCTGTTCTTGGCTTCCATCTGTCCACAGGAAGCCCCAGAGGAAAGCACCTCTACTCCCATTAGTCCCAGCTCAAGTGCTGAGGTTGAGGTTCACTGGACTTAGCTGCCTGATAGACCAGTTCCCTAATCAGTCATTGTCTTAGAACTTGGAGTTTGGCACGTGGGCTGAAGTGCATAGACTGAGATGGGAACAGGGTGGCTCCCAAAGAAAATATAGATTCTGTTATCAGGAGAAAAGGGAGCAAACAACAGATGCCCACCAAATCAAGTCAAAGAGAAAATTAAACAGAAGTCTTTTTTTTTAATGTTTATTAGTTATTGATGGACCTTTATTCATTTGTTTACATGTGATGCTGAGAATTGAACCCAGTGCCTCACACGTGCTAGGCAAGCACTCTACCACTGAGCCACAACCCCAGCTAAACAGAAGTTTTTGAAGACCAAAGTTTGCATAGTCTCTAATGCCTAGATGACATGCACTGTCCCTGGCATACAACTCTTCCCCCCAAATGTACACACACACACACACACACACACACACACACACACACACACACACACTTCTTTCTTCTCAGGTCCCACGTAAAGCAGGCAATTGCAACTCACCCTCTTGTTCCTGTCCCTGCCTATTACACAATATCATGAATGGAGAAAATATAGAGTCGCCTTCTACACAGCTGACTAGATAATCTTTACTGCCATTTCCTGACCTGTTTCCTAGTAATAAAAATTTTAATTTCAGGGGCGCAGATGTGTGTTGAAAGACTGCTGCAAAATTCTTGACAACACAGTGTTACCTCCAGAAACCGTGGTCCCACCATTCACCGTCTTCTCAGGCTGCCCAGGTAACCTTGGTGTTGATTATTTTTATTTTAACCTCTTTAAAGCTTAATTTTATTTTTCCATCCCAAAAGTAATGCGTGCAGTTTCTGTCTTTGATAATATGTTGACATAGCAAACTTAAAAATCTTCTAGTACCTCAAAATGCTATCTAAAATATGTCAAACTTTTCTTTCTTAAATGCATAATTGGGTTCACAAGAAAATAAGGAGATTGTCAAGGATGAAAAATGAAGAGAAAACTAAACCCAAGCTGTGAGATTACAGAGGTTGATGCTGTCTTCATAACAGGGAGGTCTAGGACATGATACTCAGGGTGGGCGAGGGGAGAAAGCCTTGGACCTATAATGCAGAGAGATCCTCCAATAACCTTGAAAGGGTTTCCTTCAGGCAAAGAGTGATATAGAACAAATCTGCCACCAGGACATGGAAAATACATTTCTTTTGTGGCCTGGACTCTGGCTGGAAAAAGAAGTTTCTTTTTAGAGAATTTTGACAATGGGCTTACTCTCACATTGGCTGGAAATTTGAATTTATACTTCTTGAATGGCTGAGAAATCCTAAAACTGAGAAGTTAGCCTAAAGCATGGTGTAAGACCAGTAATATTCTTGAGATGCCAGAGAGGAGCAATGCATGACCTCCTGAGCCCCTCATGAGCTCAAAGTTCCAAATTATAGACGTGAGGAAACAAAATCCCTGCTCATTCCAGAAAACTCTGAAGACACTGAAAAGCAGAAGGAAGAAGAAAACCCCCGGACACCTGCCACCCAAGAYAATCTCTGTTCCCCATGTTGACTTGTGCAGTCACCAAGTCACGCAGCATATACAGAGACACATCACAGATTGAAAGATGCAATATGGTATGAAGAGAGACATGTGACAGTACTTGATACCTTCCACTGGGTGGTTTTAATTGCTTTTCCAATTAAAAAAAATCTCATCACTCAGATTATTGATTATGAATTTCAACGATGTACAAAATCATCACTCAGTTTTTCTGGGGAGGGCAGTTGGCCATTCTGTGTCACGCTTCTCTGCTTTTGCTGAGAAGAAACGAGACTTTTTTTTAGTAACTCTCTCCATATTGGAATCCCACTGTTTACCCAACATGCATCTGATCTGAGTTGAAAAGGATATTGGCAGAGAAAGATCTTAATCTTTTAAAACTTATTCAAGTTCCTTAGCACCAGCTTCTTATTGTCATTGAACTTTGATGACAGAAGACAGGGAAGCATTGGTTGGTACTTCAAATTTAAATAATAAACACTGGTTTTGAAATGCCCTACCACTGAACTACAGCCCAACCCATTTTATTTTATTTTACATTTTGAGACAGGGTCTCACCAAGTTGCCCAGGCTGGCCTTGAACTTTCGATCTGCTTGCCTCAGCCTCCAGAGTAGCTGGAATTACAGACATATGCTACCATATCCAGCTTCTCATGAAGGATTTCTGCATGGGAACTTAAAGGTCTCTGCATAAACGAGGAAACAGTCTTAGAGAGGGTGGGTTGGCCTCATGTCCAGGCTGATTAGTGGGGAAACCTTGACTGTCCCTTAAGACCCTTATAGAGATAGAGTCGGTTCTGTTTGCACTGTGTCAGGACTTCTCGTTTCTTTTATGTAGTTTCACAGATAAATGTCCACCATCTGGATACGCTGTTGGCTGTCTTCATCTTTCAATCCAGAGCCACAGGGTTGCAGGAAAACTGGCATGTTTTTGGAGAGCAGCACGTGATATAACCAAGTCATGGGACAAAATGAAAGGGAAATCAGCCAGAAAGGATGAGAGTCAGGAGCCAAGAACTCAGGTGCCTGCAGGAGCCAGATAGACAAAGCAAATGGTGGATGTCATAGCCTGTCAGCTGCTTCCTGCAGGCCTGATCAGATCATCTGATGTTGTATGAGGAGCTAAAAATTGGAATTTTGATGTGATATCTGTATGTTTTTGAAGAAAGACCGATTCTCCTTGCAAAGCCAGACTAGGCAACTTAGTGAGACTCTGTCTCAAAATAAAAAGGTCTAGGGATGTAGCTCAGTACGGAGTGACCCTGGTTTCAATCCCATTATTTAAAAAAAAAAAAAAACAGAATAATAATAACAATAATTTAGATTATCATACCACAGGATATGAATGTTGAAAGTTTTGCTAGCTGTTTCTGAAGTGCCCTTTAAGACAGTTGTCTGAGTGTAGTGCCTGCAAGTTCCTGCCTGTGATTACTGTATGTCTTTCTGTGGAGGACCCTTCTGTGGTCCTCCCTTCCTCGATTTATCTATGTCTGCTGTCGTTGGGTTTGGGGTTTAGTTTCATTGCAGATAGGATAGTTTCTTACCTCAAGGACAAGAGTAAGGCTGGCTCAGTGGGAGTAACACCAGAATCCTGGGAGTGGGCAAGTCCTGGTCTGGAACAGCCTCTGAAATAATCAGCAATGCTCTAATTCTTGGGATCTTGCACTCATGTCCTATCTACATCTACCTGGGCCGATTCTTTGTTTGGAGAACTGTATAGTTGCTTCCATGCATTCACAAATTCATATCATTTAGAAGATATGATCAGTGGAATACTGTCAGTACTGAAGATTTGGAAAACCTAGTATTTAGATAAAATTGAAAGAAAGGTCTCCTGTAGGCTGTAGGCCTCCCTGGCTCCCCTTGGTTGACCAGGTCTCTCTTTCCTCAGGACTCTTCTCAGGGGAGCTTCCAGAATGTACTCAAGAGCTAATGATTGACGTCACCAAGAGCTACTACCAGAAGTTTTTGCCCCTGACACAAGTCTAGTGTTTCTGCTTCATGTCTTGAATTTGGTTGAGCTCTAAGATGAACTTGGGGACGAAGTGAGCGTCAGCATCTCCAGGAGCTTGTGCGTGTTTGACACTTCCTCCTTTCTTTATTTTATTTTATTTTTTTAAATTGAGAATGTTTCAATACTTCACGGCTCTAAGCTCTTAAGAATTTAATAAGAGAACATCTGGAGGAGTCGGCTCCACATGCTGTCTCACACCTTATCTGTCAACCGTCACTTCATCCCATTATCTGTGGAACACAGAGTTGACCTTCCTAACTCTGCAACACTCCCGGCACCGTGGTCCCGTGGATGCTAGATCCAGGCTGAGAGGGGCCTACAGGGCACAGCACTCCCCCAGGGTAGAGGTAACAGGCAGGTGTGCCGCTCATGGCCACGCCCCCTCACGGCACCCCACTCAGAGGACACTCAGCTCTGTTGCTGCTGACGTGTTTGACCAGTGGCCACAATTGCTCATAATCCTGGAGAAAGTGTGACTTCTGAGCCCTGATTCCTGTTGTCTGTTGGTGGTTAGTGTGTCTCTTCCCCAAATTACTGTCCCGAGGTGGTTAATAAAAGACTTTCTAGCATTCTGTTCCAGGGCCTTTGGCTTTCCCTATAAGAGAAGTCCTTAGCACCCCACAGTTTGTATTTGCAAAGTTCCAGGTTTGAGTCTCCCATGTAAATGGATTAGTCAGGTAGTCACTCCTTGCCTCAAAGTATTTGTCTGATTTCATTGAAAACAAAGCATTTGTGAACACTTGCTCTCTGACCTAGAACCATTCAACCCACCCCGTATTTGCATAAAACCTCACAGGTCATATGTATGCATGAATGGCTCTTAAAATTGTCTGGTGGGCACAGAGCCCAAGGAGTGACGYGGCCAGCGGTATTCTTACCATCTCCTCTGGCCAGTCGCACCACCCTTCCTGGTCCTGCTCTGACTTCTTGGCTTAGAAAGGAGGTTTAGAGTGAGGAGCTGAGAAGGTTGGCCTCCTCAGGACTCTGGCCTGCTGAAGGTGAATGGGACAGATTGGCTCAGCCTGGAAGTCAGAACCCAGTAGGAGCCAGCTTGACCTATCTTCCAGTTGTGGGGTTTGCAGAAAGAGCCTTATGTAATCATCTCCGCTAATTCTATTAAAACTCCCTTCTGGTTTGTCATTTTTTGTGTGTTTGTGYATTAAAAGATGTACACATGGATGAGTTGTTTGAGGGTGAGCATGCTCCACTCCCAGCCATGGCTGCTGCTGTTCCCCAGGCTCTTCACCATGTGCCTGGTGTCAGGTCACCATCTTTCTATTCATTGGCTCACTTATTTCACAAAGTCCTGGACCCAAGAGATCCTCCTGCCTCAGCCTCTTGAGTAACTAGGACTGTAGGTGCACACTCTGCCTTGCTTATTTCTCATCAACTCTGTAAGGTGGATGTTATTCCCAGTTTACAGACAAGAAAACAACTCAGAGACGTTAGACAGTTTTGTCTAATCCATACAGGGAAGAAATGGCTGACGGCCGCATGTCTGTCTGGCTCCACAGCCTGCACTCCAGCTGTGCCCTGAAAGATGAGACAAACTTACCTTGAGCTTGTCTGCTGTGTGTCCTCTCTGATGCCAGCCAGCCATGATAAGTCCCATTTTTCCTGCTCTTATCCTGGCATCTCCCCAGGGTCCTTCGTCCTTCTGTGCCACCATAAAAGTGAATCTCAGAATTGGCAGAGTTTAGACTTCAGAAATCTCCCAGGGCCTGTCTAACAGACTCCCATCCAGCTGTGTTCGCACATCTGCAAAAGGAAGCCTGCCGCTTTTGCGAATGACTACCTACTTTGTTGGTAAACAACTGAAATGTATGGGATGTTGGGGGGCCTTTCAAAACAAATGTACTTTTTAAATCATTAATTCAAGCCCATAATTTCAAAAATCAAGTCCAGTTGCTAGAGAAAGGGGATATCATGGAGTAGGTCTCCTCAGTGCAGAGTTCCAGTCCCACATTCTGTGTCCCAGATGCAACCTCTCTGAACAGTTTTGGGTTCTCTGTTATAAAAGACAGGCTGCGCATGCACAAGCAGATCCAGGTGTGTGCCCCAACTCTGTTTATTCCAACAAGGGAGCACCCACACCTGTGTTCTGCATCTGGCTTCTTAATACATCTTAGAGATGGTTCCATACCAGGACTGAAGAGTTATAAATAAAAAGTACCAATCTTGTTGAAGATTCATAGAATGTTTACTATGTACCAGATACTCTTCTGAATTCTTTACATTATTTAAATTGCTTAAATCTTTACAATTGACCATGAGATAGATCTAGTCATTATCCCCAAGGGACAGAGGTTAGGTAAATGGCCAGATTAACCCAGCTGAAGTGGCAGGAAATCCAGGCATTCTGGTACGAGAGCTGGTACTTGCAGCCAGTATATGCTACAATCCCTCCATGCTGCGAGATTCTGCATCGCCCAGAATTGTGACTCTGGCCAGCCCTTGCTTTACAGAAACCAAAAAGTGAATATCTTGCTTTTCCAGGCAGGCAAGGAAAAGGAGATGGGGACTGGATCTTCCAATAATGTGTGCCACTGGCAGAAAGGCTAGTGTCCCCTCTGAGAAGATGTGTCCTTGCAATGTGCCCTGTTGCCTTGTAGCTACAGCTGTGGTCTGATGATTATAAACAGAAGCARCTTTCCTGGAAGAAGGTGTTTCTTGCATGAGTTAAGCGGCGTCTTTACGATTTGTACCATAGTGTTAGACTCTGTAAAGGAATGTGCAAATTAGATTAGAAAAAATCCAGTTAGGATGCTTTGTTGCATGTGATAGAATCCAGCTTGAAAGACCAGTATGGCCTTCAACAGATGAATGGATAAAGAAAATGTGCATATATACACAATGGAATATCACTCAGCCATAAAGAAGAATGAAATTATGGCACTTGCTGCTAAATGGATGGAACTGGAGACTGTCATGCTAAGTGAAATAAGCCAGCCCCAAAAACCAAAGGCTGAATGTTCTCTCTGATATGTGGATGCTGACATAAAATAAGGGTGTGTGTGTTTGGGGTGGGGGGAATAAAAGTTCATTGGATTAAACAAAGGGGAATGAAGAGAAAGGAGGGGGACTGGGAATAAGAAAGTAGAATGAACTGGACTTCACTTTCCTATGTTCATATGTGAATGCACAACCAGTGTGACTCACACCATGTTTAAACACAAGAATGGGATTCYGTTTAGACTCCATGTATGTATAATATGTCAAAGTACACTCTGCTGTCATGCATATCCAAAAACAACAAAAAATAAATAAAGCCAGTGTGGGCAGAAAGGAGGGGCGGGTTATTGGCTCCCAAAACAAATCATGGAAAGACAAGCATGAGCAGTAATGTAATGGGAACCTTGGGCAAGTTATTCCATCTCCCTGTGCCCTGGAATCCTAAACTGCAGACAGGGAACAACAGTAGCCCCTCAGAAAGCTGGAGTGGGTACAGTTAAATGAGCTGTATGAAGGGACAGTTCCTGGCACTTGGCACTCCAGAAGTAGTAACTTTGCAGGGACAACTCTTTGCAAACATGTGAACTCCATTGAGCTGGCTGGCTTTCCTCTCTCTTTTTCATTTGCACATTAGTAAAGGGACATATTCGGCTACTGTAACAAAGAAACCCCTAAAATGTAGTTCCTCCAGCAAGAAAGAAGTTTCTCTCTCATCTCACAGTGCGTAGATAGGTAGATGGGCCAAGGCAGGTGAGTGATGGGCTCCATGATGTCATCAGGCACCCCAGCTCCTACTGTATTGTCACATTGCTGAGAGCCACAGCCAAGTCGGAATGACGCATACCATTTGTGCCAGAAGGGAGTGGTTGAGAGGTGACGCCAGCGAGCCATTGAGATGATGATGGTTACGTTAAGCTGTGTATTCAATTATATRTTAGACCCTTGCTGTCCGCCTGGTGCGGGAGTTAGAGTTAGGGTTATGGTTGGAGTTCTCTCGGGGATTCCTGGTGAGTTCTCATTGGTTGGGGAAGTGCCTGAGGAGGGATTTCCGGTTGGTGGTTCCTGGAAGGGCCACGTGGGTGGCATGCACGGGGCTGGGATAATAAAGGAGTTCCTGTTTTGAACCTACATTTGCCTCGTGGYGGCTCGGTTATTTTGTGCCCAGCCAGACTGCAGCATCACATGGCCACATTGGACAGCAAAACCTCGAGGAAGCGGGCATGGTGGTGCATGCCTGTAATTTCACTGGCTCAGGAGGCTGAGACAGGAGGATCTCAAGTTTGAGGCTAGCCTCAGCAATTTAGCGAAGCCCTAAGAAATTTAGTGAGACCTGTCTCAAAAGGAAAGGAAAAATGGCTAGGGAATATAGCTCAGTGGTAAAACACCTGGGGTAAAATCCCCAGTACAAAAAGGAAAAAAACAAAAAACCTGAAAAAAACCCAAAAAACAGATTCTAATAGTGAAAAGGGGAAACCTGACTTTGGGAGACACAGGTAAACTTGTGCCGACTTCTGCTGTGTTGCCTCCTTTTCTCAACTGTAAGTGGCTTTCTCTGTAGTTTTTTTTTTTTTGGTGGGGCTGGGGATTGAACCCAAGGTGGGTCTTGCGCATGCGCGGCAAGCTCTCTACCAGCCTCTGAGCTCTATCCCCAGCCCCTATCTGAGCATTTGAGGACATAACAACTATCAGCTCCAGACTCGCATCCTGAATGAAAGGTTCCCCTACCTCCCAGTTTTAGTTTGGCAGATCCTTGTTGGATTGATCACTGTGGCCAGTGGTGTTTGGCTCTATGATGAGCCCAATCTGGGTCATGAGCTTTCCTCTATGCCCCCTGCCAGGTGGGGAAGAAAGCCAGGCTCCATTACCGAAGCGAAGCGAGGTTCTGAGAAGACAAAACCAGTATCTACTACAGACAGTAAATGAGTCTATGATTATGTTCTGTATCGTTTGAAAGTGTGTTAATGTCCTGAGTGTGTATCCTAGGAAAGGCCAGCTGGACTCTGTCTCTATGGTGGCTCTGCCCCCAGGGACAGTCTGTCACCAGATAATTACTTTTATAACCCCCCCCCCCAGAAGAAAATCTCTTTGTCCTTGAAGTAGTCCCAGAAGAGGAGGCAGATGGGAAAGACCTGACTGGGAGCCTTCCAGTTGGCAGTTGGCTTGGGGCAGAGAGGGAATGGATCAGGCTCCCAGTTAGATCCCAAGACTCCAAACGGGGTCATGGGATCCATCTCTCTTCCGCTCTCACCTCTGCTCTTCTTTGAGTTGGCACTATTTTCAGGCTCCATGGTGTGACCCCACAGCTCTCCTTATTGATAGAAAGGGCTTCCCTTTGCTGGGGAAAACCAACCAACCCACCTGGATTTGGTTCTTGGTTCAGACTGGACAGTATTCAGACTCCAGTCATCACTGTGGCCAGGAAGTTCAAGTACACCGACTTCTCCCAGCCATGTACCTGCATGGGCTGAGAGCTGGCACCCGGTGGTCAGGGGTGATATCAGAGGAGGGTGGGAGGACCAGGCAGGAAGAATGATCAGGGGCCATCCAGTCCTCTTCCTTTTTCTGTTGCCTTCATTCCTCTGCCTGCTTACCTTCACCACCTACCTCGTCTCTCTTCACTGTCTGGYGGGTACCTTCTGAGGATACTCCTGAAGGGGCATCTGAGCCTCAATTAGGGAGCAGAGGGAAATATTGCTTGGTCAAAGAGGGATGTTCAACAAAAAGCCATTTAGTGCACAGTCGTCTTCTAGAACTGCTTTCCTATGGACCCCATTACAGCCCAGCAGGGCCCTTGTCATGGTCTGAGGTAGAATTCTAGTTACGTTCTTGTCCCAGCCCACACTGGCTCCTGAGGAATGAGACTTGAGCCTGTGGGTTATTCAGCACATTTTTGACGGGGTGATTGCCGGGATGTAGCCCTACTTCTGCCCCAGGTTAGTCTCACATGCCAGATCCTTGGTACGGGGCACAGGGTTGAATGCTGAACCTGTGAGGGTCCTGCTGACTGGTTCTGTTTTATGTGGGCAGTGCACAGCCCTTGTGGTTGGTTGGAATGGGTGGTGGCTTCTGAATTAGTCACTTCTGTATCCATCAATTCACTTAGGACCTGAGGCCACAGTTTCTTTCTTTGTCATCGACCCATCTGGGTGATAGCAGACTTGAAATTAATCAGACTTGAATTAATGAGA